TCAATAATGACCCAAATGGAATCATTCCCTGCCTTGGATCTCGGGAGTCCCGTCACCAAATCCATAGTGATATGCTCCCACTCCCACTCTGCCACTGGTAGTGGTTGCAACAAACCTGCCGGTCTCTGATACCACCTGGATGAACTACGAGTCGAGAATGGTGAAAATCCCGAAGAACAATGTCACGACAAGACAAAGGGACAAACATCCTCCCTCTGTACTCGAGACCACCATCTGAATGCAAGGTCCAACCCTTTACATTCCCACCGCCTGAAATCTGCTCGTGGATGGACTTCATCTCCCCATCCTCCTGCTGTGCCTCAATAACTCTGCTAACAAAAGCTGGTTGAGCCACAAGGCTAAATAAAATAGCCAGTGAAACATTCTTATACAACTGCGAACCAATATCTGCAAGCTCTTCTAGCATCTTCCATCTGTGAATGGAAATGCTAGCAAGAGTATCCCGTAACTTCCTACTCAATGCATCAGCCACCACGTTGGCCTTACCCGGATGATACTGCAACACAAAGTCATAGTCCTTCATGAACTCAACCCATCTGCGCTGTCTCAAATTCAAATCCTTCTGAGAGAAGAGATATTTGAAACTCTTGTGATCGGAGAAAACTTTGAATTTCTCCCCATACAAATAGTGTCTCCACCCCTTAAGGGCAAAGATAACTGCTGCCAACTCCAAATCATGTGTTGGATAGTTCAACTCGTGAGTCTTTAATTATCGAGACCCATAAGCTACCACTCATTCAGTCTGCATCAGAACACAACCCAAACCTTCTCGCGAAGCATCACAATAAATCACGTAACCCAAACTACGTTCAGGTATGATTAAAACTGGAGTTGATGTCAACCTAACCTTAAACTCCTGAAAAGCAAAATCACAAGCCTCATTCCATATGAACTTGACCCCCTTGCGAGTAAGTCGAGTCATAGGTGCTGCTAAAGGAGAGAAATCCCAAACAAATCTCCTGTGATAGCCGGCTAGGCCAAAAAAGCTCCGAATCTCAAACACTGTCTTCGGACGCTCCCAATCCATCATAGACTCAATCTTCGACGGATCCACTGCAACACCACCCCTTGACACAACGTGTCCAAGGAACTTTACCTTTAGTAGCCAAAATTCGCATTTCTCGAACTTGGCATACAATTGGTTATCCCTAAGGATCTGTAAAACTACTCTAAGATGATACTCATACTCTTCTCTCGAAGCTGAGTACACGAGAATGTCATCAACGAACACCACCACAAATTTGTCAAGATAGTCACTGAATACAAGGTTCATCAAATCTATAAAAGCTGCTGGAGTATTGGTCAAACCAAATGGCATTACTAGAATCTCATAATGGCCATACCGTGTACGAAAAACGGTCTTGGATATATCCTCATCCTTAACCCTCAACTGATAGTAACCTAATCTTAAATCAATCTTCGAAAAGTATGTCGCTTCCTTCAACTGATCAAACAAGTCATCAATCCTAGGCAAAGGATACCTATTCTTGATCGTAGCTTGATTCAACTTGCGATAATCGATGCAAAGTCTCAAAGACCCATCCTTCTTCTTCGCAAAAAGAACCGGTGCTCCCCATAGCGAAACACTAGGACGAATAAAGCCCTTAGCTCATCAAGCTCTGCCGGTGCCATACGGTACGGTGCCATAGAGATAGGTACTGTATCAGGAATGACATCGATGGCAAAAACAACTTCCCTTAAAGGAGGTAACTCTGTTAGTTCCTTAGGAAAGACATCAACAAAATCCTCAACAACTGCCAGAAAAAAACGGCCCAAACTACTATCCTCGTCAACTAGGAAACTAGCCAAGTAGGATCTGTGGTGACTCCAGTTACTAATGTTGAAAACCATACTCGGGTGGGAATCACCCCGATCTCCCACAAAATGGAAACAATCTCCCTTGGGAGTACAAATGGTCACCCTCCCTCGGAAGTAATCGATCGTAGCCCAAAAGAATGACAACCTATTCATCCTAAGAATGACATCAAAACCCGTCATGTCGAGAACAATGAAATCGAACTCCAAAGTCTGTCCAGCTATCTCAATAGCACAACCTCGACAAACACGATCCAAAGACACTGGACCCCCTACTGGTGTGTCAACACAGAGAAAACTGTCCCGAAGTGTGACCTCCAGACCCAATGAATGTGCAAATGATGCAGAAATGAAAGAATGTGATGCACCCGTGTCAACAAGAACCCGTGCCCAAGAACTGAAAACTGGAAAGATACCTCGGACTGAAATAGTGCCTGTGGAAGCATTCGCCTATGGCAGAGCATAGGCTCGTCCTTGAGTCCCTGAGCCCTACTGTGAACTGCCATGATAGCTTGACTGATGTGTAGAAACAGTAGGTGTAAAACCCCTGGCTGGATAAGTGCCAATCGGCGCTACTGACTGTGGTGCCTGAGGAACTCTCAAACCAGACTGAACCCCTGGAGACTGTGCCGGTACCATCTGTGAATCTGTGCCACTACGTGGCTTATTCAACAATCTTGGACAATCCTTCTTGAAATGACCTGGTTTCTTACAATAGAAGCAAGTTCCCTACCCTGTCTTCATAGAAACCGATGTCTAACTGTCCTGTGATCGAAGCTGTGGGCAGCGAGGCTTGATGTGCCCCGGCTGCTGACAATGGTAACAAACCACTCCCTGAGCTGATCCAGTAAATACAGGAACTGTGGGTGCAGAACGGTTCTGCTGTGATGCCCCCTGTGAGTGAGTATTGTTCCCTGCCCTGGCCTTCTTCCACTGACTCCCGGAAGATGATGGATTATCTCTACGAGGCTACTTGTGTGAACCCCTGATCCGTAACTGATCCTGTTCCTCTGCTTCAGCTAGCATAGCCCTCTGGACCACCTCTCTGTAGGTCCTCAAATCAAGAATGGAGACCTGTGGCCTAATGTCAAGATGTAGTCCATCCTGAAACTTCATTGCCCTGGCCTCGTCTAACGAGAGAGAGAAGTAAATCATGTCTCATAATCAATGACACTCATAGTGCCCTGATAAAGACCTGCAAACTGTGTCCTTATCTCCCGCCTCATAGCCCTCGGAAAGAAGCGCTCGAAAAATAGATCTCTGAACTCATTCCAAGTCATCAACTCAACATCGTAGACATTAGTCATAGACCTCCACCAGATATCTGCATCCCCCATAAACAAAGAGGCAGTCAAGGAAATCCTCAACCTGTCCGTGGGTACCGCCATACTATCTAACTTGCGACCATAAGGTCCAACCAAGCTTATGAGACTAGCGGATCTGAACTCCCTGCAAATGGATCAATCTTGACCCTCTATAGTCGCATGAAGTACTCCAGTGCCTCATTGACTATCGGTGCCGGTGCCGGTGCTAGAATCTGTACCCCTGCCACCTGCCTACATATAAACTCCTATAGAGATTTAGCGATCCTCTGATTGATTCCCTGAGCCACTCGTTCCTCATAAGTTGGTGCCCGTGGCGGATTCGCATCCACGCCACGAACTGGAATCCTGGGCCTCCCCGGACCCCGTGTGAACTTGGTGTCAGCCATCTGCTCCTCAGTGCCCAGACGCGAAGACTCTCCACGCATAACAACCATGACGCTAAACGCACGAAAGAAATGGGGTCAACAATAACTCAAGTTATTATGACCAAGTGCACTTCACACTATGAATGCGCAAGACATGAAGCAAGACGAGATATGCAACATACCATCATGCTAAGGCAATTCAAGAAAGCTCTTAAAACAATTAAGCACTTAAGCAGATAAGCATACATGTCAAACAAAGGTGCTCTTAACCACATAGGCATATAAGCATAAAGACATGTCATACTACTAAGCATGTTATCACGAAACACCTAAATATGTTATAAAGTCAAAACATGTTATCAAAACCATGTGAATGCATCAAAGTACATCAACAAAAGCATGATATGCAACCAAAACCCATCGTCCTAAGGTGTTCAAACCTAGGAGCTCTGATACCACTTGTGACGGCCCAAGTTTTTCAACCCGGTGCGTTAGTGATGAACCGAAAGTGATCCGATAACGAATCCGTATTGCGGAAGCTAAAGGTAAATCAAGGTCTATAGAGATAGGAGTCACTCTAAAGACACCAAGGTGACCCTTCATGAGATCACGAAGGTTAAAGAGAACAAAAATAGAAACAATGGTCAAAAAGGACAAAATTTATCATCCAAGGAGCAAAAAGGTCAATTCACTATTAAAAGGAGAATCTTGACTCTAAACAAGTCAAACAAGGTTAATACAACCCAATCTAATCATTTTGAAACATTCCAAGAGATTCCATAGACTTTGGCTAAGAATCCCACAAAATGTCCCGTCTCGGTTGAAGTGAAAACTGACACTGCTTCACTAAAATATACATAACTCCCACAGTGTTTGGAATTTGAGAATGGGATTATAACCATTGGAAATCTGACTCAAATTCCTTGGGATTATAACCATTGGAAATCTGACTCCCACAGTTTGCAGGTCTTTATCAGGGCACTATGAGTGTCATTAATAAATTCAAACTAATTAATCCTATTTCAACATAAACGTACTCTACCCGTTAATGAACAACTACTTGACTATTTGATAAATTCAAAATAATTTAATAACAAAGCTATTACATTTACAAGATATATCCTTAATAAATAAGAAAACTATATTAACGTATTTCAATAATAAGAAGTAAGAAAGGATTCTAAAATTGCTGTTAATAAACATAGTTGGAAATAAAAATATTTCACTATTAATAAACATAGTTGGAAAAGGAGATTGTAAAAGTATTAGACGAGAGACACGGAAGATAATCCACACAAGTAGAAGTACTGTTAGAGATGGAGATGGATTTTTACCCCCTATATTTCCTATATATATATATATATATATACACACATATATACAGATAGATAGATAGGAAATATAGGGGATATATAGATAGATAGGAAATATAGGGGGACCAACCCAAAAAGATTCAAGAGATTTGGTATCATCAATGGATTATAGCTTAATAGGTGACCCAAGAGATTGGGTGAAAAGTGACATATTTGGCACAGGAAGGTGGGGAACAGTTTACTTAGCAAGAAACCCTAAGTATCCTCTTAACCTTATTGCTATCAAAACTGTAAGCTTTTCAGCGGATTATTCACCATTCTCTGAGAGAGAAGTATTGGAAGCTCTCCAACCCTGTCCCGAAATAATTAGCTGTTATGGAGATGATTTCGTAACAGAACAAGATGGACAGGTAGTCTACCACCTGCTTCTTGAATATGCACCCGGAGGCACTCTCCATGACTTGATCAAGAACAGTAGTAGTGGAGGTAAGTTGCCGGAGATCAATGTCCGTGGATACACTCGTATGATACTCAAAGGTGTCATTCGCATGCACCAGAAAGGGTACTTTCACAACGATTTGAAGGCCACGAACATCCTCGTCTTTCTTTCTGAGGATGGTGTTATTGATGATCATGTTAAAATCGCGGACTTTAACCTAGTGAAAAAAGTTGAATTTGGACTGTGCATGAGTTGCGAAAAGTATCATGATGTATCGAGTGGTGATCTTTTTAAGTGTGGATGTGTTACCTTTGAAGAGTCAATAGATATATTGGCTCTTGGGGGTTTGGTGATGGAGATGGTGACCGGAGAACCGGCGAAGTGGAGTATTGCGTGGGAGGGGGTAACCGGAAAGCAGAATAAGTGGAGAAGCACTTTTTGTCCAAAAAAGCCGGAGATACTGGAAGGAATGTCCGATGATGGGAAGGACTTCCTGAGAAGGTGTTTAGTTGAAGAACCAAGAGAAAGGTGGAAGGCAAACATGCTCCTAAATCATCCGTTTGTTGCCAAAGACGGTAGCTAGCTAGTTTTGTAAGTTAGAAATATATGACTAGGTTGTTGAAATAGTATCTGTGGATACCTTTTTAAAAAAAGAATTTTTCTTGATGGATTCTTTGTGTTTACGGCATGTTTGACAAATTACTTTTGTTTCGTGTTTTTTTAGTTATGATACCATATTGTAGTGAAACAAAAAACTAAAAAGTATCGCAAAAGCCCAAATGAAAAACATGGTAGGGTGAACAATACCTCCACACAAAAACAAAAAAACAAAAAACAGTAAGTGTGATCTAAAGGCCTTTTTTAACAAGTCATTTTTGTTTTTCAGTTCTGTAACATTTTTTTTTCTAACATGTTTTCATATTTTTACATTAATAAATTTTGCAACAAAATTTGTTTTATCAAACATGCTTTCAATCATTATTGAAAAGACTCCCTATAACAAGTAGTTTCTAGTTTGGATAGAAACATAAACGAACCATTAATTAATTGTTTTATGCTTTTTTTTCACACTTTTTTAATTGTTTTACAAGACATGAATTCAACTTGAGTATAAGATGAGATCAATTACAACTCTGTTCTTTAACTGAATCCAAATTCTAACTGGAGTTCAAAGACTTGAATGGAATTGGATTGTGTTGTGTACTTATTAGACCAAAGGTCGAAATTAAACTTTCAAAATTACAATAGTCATGATCTCACATCGCTTGATCGGAATATTTTAAAGATATTTGCAACAGAATATTAGTTATTAAAGTTAGATGTATGAGAAACATATTCTATTGCCATTCTTGTGTAGTTGAAATCATTGTATGTTCTTGTGCAGTTAAAATGGTTATATACCTCTCAATCATGTTCCTGCCAGTTAGAAATTTGTCTAAAATTTATTTATGACGTGGCAAAAATCTATTAGCTATAGAAGTGTGATGATGAAGTTTCCAAATTAGCTTATACAGAAAGCTTTGAAATTCTTGGGCAACAAGAATTATTCTTGGGTAGCAAGTGCTATTTGGCTTCCAAAGGAAGCTTTGTAATATACTTGGACACCAGTTATATTTTTGGCTATAAATAGCCTTGCACTTATTCAATGAAAAACATCCGAGGAAGAAACAATATTCGGATCAAGAGAATATATTGGTTTTGTGTGTGCGAGAAAATCCTTTTGTGTGTGCGATCTTCAAGTGACACTTGAAGCTTGTCTTTGGGTGGGTTTTTCTCTTTGTACGTGTAAACCATTTACTATTTGGGTATTTCTTGAGAGTGTTGTGTGAGTCTCTTTGTTGGTGAGTTAGTGGTGTGAGAAGGGAGATTATTGTGTGGAAGAACCAAAATGTTCTTCAGTTTGTAATCTTCTTCTTTATAGTGATATGAATCATCATCGCCCATGGACGTAACCCTATTTGAGGATGAACCACGCATAAATCCTTATCTCATTTGTGTGTGTGCCTATTTTATTTTCTTGTCATTAATTTTCTCTTATTTTCATAAACTCCTATTCGATCCTTATTTCATAACAAACTGGTATCAGAGCTCGGGTTCGTGTACTGTGTACAAATACTATTCACATGTATGGTATTGTACACGAGTACTTTTCAATGAGAAATATTTTGGGGAGTTTTTTAAGATATCGACTAGATATGAGATTGAGAAATTTGATGGCAAGATTAGTTTCAATATTTGGCGCATTAAGATATATGCAAGCCCTGCTGACTTGGCAAGGTCTTGGCAAAGGAAGAGTTAGAAAGAGGAGTTATGATCCTAGTTCTCAAAAGGGTTGTGAAGGGACCACACAACATGGTGGGAGAATGAAATATGTTTTCAGATGGCAACCGAAGTTGCAGCAGTCCTTATAGGGAGGCAGACCAATGAGGACAGGTGTGATATTGACTTGCAATAATTTTGGTGGCAATGAGATAGTCTATTCGAGTGCCATTAAGATGCGTGGGAGGTAACTAGTTAGTCACAATAAAGATGCGAGGAAAAGTCAAGGACGTCCTATTCTCCACAAAGGTGAGAAGATGACTTTTCATTACCAACCGATGGTTAGTGGGCGGTTGGAGAAGTTTGCTGAAGGGTATGTCAAAATTAGAGTTTTTTAGGGTGTTTTTGATAAACACTTAAAGTCTGATAGAAATATTGGAGGTATGCTTTTGGCTGCACAAGACATGCATAGGTTGAAGAATGAGAGCCCGATGATTAAGTTTGAGAATGACTCAAACTTAACTAGAATTCTTTATTAATTTCTTTTGTGTTGGAGATGATGATGGCGTTATTACTCACATTGTGTTGAAGAAAGACTCTTTATGATGTTGTCTTCTCATTTGTGCTAAGATGGAGAAATTTTGCTAAAAATGGAGTTTTGTTGACATTTGTGGCTCATTCGAAATTTTTGCCAAGGTGGAGAATTTTAGTCAAGGTGGAGAATTTTAGAAATTTGTCTAAATTTCATTTATGACATGGCAAAAATCTATTAGCTACAGAAGTGTGATGGTGAAGCTTCCAAAGAAAGCTTTGAAATTCTTGGGTAGCAAGAATTATTCTTGGGCAGTAAGTGTCATTTGGCTTCCAAAGAAAGCTTTGTAATATACTTGGACATCAAGTATATTTTTGGCTATAAGTAGCCTTGCACTCATTCGATGAAAAGCATCCGAGAAAGAGACAATATTCGGATCAAGAGAGTATATTTGTTTTCTGTGTGTGAGAAAATCATTTTGTGTGTGCAATCTTCAAGTGACACTTGGAGCTTGTATTTGGGTAAGTTTTTCTCGTTTAAATCATATAATATTTGGGTATTTCTTGAGAGTGTTATGTCAGTCTTTTTGTTGGTGAGTTAGTAGTGTGAGAAGAGAGATTATTGTGTGGAAGAACCAAAATGTTCTTCAATTTGTAATCTTCTTTTTTATAGTGATACGAATCATCTTCGCCCGTGGACGTAATCCTGTTTGTGAGGGTGAACCACGTATAAATCTTTGTTTTATTTGTGTGTGTGCCTATTTTATTTTCTTGTCATTAATTTTCTTTTGTTCTTATAAACTCCTATTCGATTCTTATTTCATAACACTGATGATTACTTTGGAAGGCGAATCTTATCAAGAAGATGGCAGACATGGTGAGAGATGACGTGAAATTGATGACCAAAGTCTCCAGCAGTTCAAGAGATAACTTGTGAGCTACTACTGTCGAATTTTCTTTGCGTTGTTTTGAAGCATTATATCAGCAACGGTAGAAGAAGCCACTGGATTAATTATCAGAGTACGTTTTGGACAAGGTGATGTGGTTTTGGACGAGGAAGCGGTTAACAAGAGGAATTTCCAGCTGGCTGCTGTTGGGGGCTAGAAGAATTGTTCAGTTACCATCTTTTGAGAGTTTTTAATGTCTTTAACTTAATTAGGATCTTATAGCTGAAGTATTTATGCTTGTCACTGACATGTCCCTTTTCAATTTTTCGCCCATGTTTTAGAAAGAGATGATGGGAAAATGTAGTAATATATATGTTCTTCTGCGTCTGACATAGGTTTGAAGACTAATCTCAAAAATTCCATATAAGAATGAGTCATTGTATCATCTGCAAATAAAGATTCATGTTATGTTGCCCTAGTGCAAGGATATATATTTATTCTGAACTCTCTGTATCCACTATAGTTTTTTTTATTATCATGGTGAAATTCCTGCAACCCCCTTGAACGTAGCCTTGAATTTTGGATGAGCGAAGTAAAATTTGCATGTTCTTGTTGTGTGTGTGTTTGATCTCTTACTTGTATTTTCTGTTTAATTTAACAACACTATTATGTTTCATTTTATAAAGTATAAACCAAGCTTTTTTCTTGTAATATTCCTTATTTGATTGCTCTGTATTGTATCATGTTCAATGAAACAGTCCTGATAAATGCATTCTTCCTTGATCCATGTGAATTTTTGGTGTGTTAATTCTTTAATCTGATGTTTCTAAGCATAATTGTTAAAGATACATATACATATGGAGCTTAATCAATTTGCATAAATCACACTTTATCATTGTTTTTTCAAATGGAGAACTGATCGAACCCTTGGATGTCCAGAATGATAAAGACTGGTTCTTACTCTTCTGTTTTTTTTTTTTTTTTTTTGGCGATTCAAAATAGATTGGTTCTAACAGTTGGCAATGACAATACCATGTTTATTTATTTACTACGTATTTAACATTAGGTGGTATTACAAGAAACTTGGCGACCATAACTATGAGAATCACTGTCCGGCCTTCAGAGTAACTCCAATCACTACTACTTTTCATTCTGTCCGTCCTCATCTAGTTGGTTCGACCTATTCCAGTTTAGTTTATTTAGCTTTTAAAATATCCCCAAGACAGTAGTTATTTAGGTAGATGTTCCATTAACATTTAAACAAACTGACCTATATAACCACTTGTAATGTTCTGATTTCTTGTGATCTGCAGTCGCTGCACTTCAACAATGGAATGCTACCTTCCATACAAGCTCCTCCCTCTCTTCCTCCTCCTTTCAGCTGCTTTGTCAGCTTCCACGGTGGATGATCGTGCCACCTACATCATCTACATGGACAAATCAGCCATGCCCACTCCCTTCTCAGATCATGATAATTGGTATACGAGTCTATACGGTGATGCATTCATCCCTGTCATTATCTAATCATGGTGTTTTCCCAACCCATCTCTACACCTAAAACCATGTATTGGATGGCTTCAGTGCTGTGCTATCTCGGTCTCATCTAGATCAGCTCGAAAAGATGCCTGGCCATATTGCCACGTACCCTGAGACCTCTGGAAAGCTTGACACCACACATACTCCAGAGTTTCTTGGCCTGAAAAAGAGTGCTGGCCTGTGGCCTCAAGCCAGTTTTGGTGATGACATGATTATTGGTATAATTGACTCTGGCATTTGGCCAGAAAGTGAGAGTTTCAGAGATGATGGCATGCCCCCGGTGCCAGAGAGATGGCGCGGGGCATGTGAGTCAGGGGTAGAATTCAACTCTTCGTATTTTAACAGAAAACTCATTGGAGCTCGCTCTTTC